TTCTATTCTTAGTTCTATAATGGCATTGTAGTACTTTCAGGTGGAATACAGCTTCATAACATATCAGCTAGGGAACTACAAGTCCCAGCATGCCCTCATTGCCCCTGTACAACAACCAGATATTGCCGTTCCCTGGGTGATATGTGTGTGTGTGTGTGTGTGTGGGGAGGGGTGTACAGGGACAATGATGGCATGCCTGGACTTGTAGTTCCTTAGCTGATATATATGTGTGGGGGTGGGGGGTACAGTTCTAGTGGATGTTTATATAATATGGGGGGGGGGGCGAAAAAAAATGTTCTGCCCCGGGCGCCCATAACTCTGGTTACGCCACTGTATGAAAATGTTCTATTCAACTACCAAAAGTATTACTCTGCACTAAAACCTTCATCCTGTCTCCTGAAACCTACTGGAAAGAAGAATATGATTGGATCAAGAGGCATCATTTAAGGTAAGTCCTCAAAGCAGAATTTGGGGGGGTGACTTTAATGTAATTTTAAATCCACTTGCTCACAATAGTACAAAAGGGGGAATAGCTCTGTTCCCAAGAGATATCAGCGATATTTTAGGGTCCCTAACCTTTTTTTAATCTGAGAACCACTCAGAGACAAAACACAGGTGAGCTGAAGGTAGGTAAGGATCATATAACATTATCTGCAATTGATGCTGTATGTTTAAGTTTTATTTGATAATCTCTAAACTACATTTCTTGCAGCTTTGTGTGCAAAGCTTTTCATCATGTATATTGCAGGTCCATCGAGTTGGATGAGACATGAGGACGCTGAGGGACATTCCTCGGGCGGGAGAGAGGTAAGTGCTAGACATGTGCGATTCGTTTCGTTCCGAATCGAAATTCGGACGAATTTTCAGAAATTCTGACATTCGGATGTATCCGAATTCCGAATTACAGATATAACGAATGCAAACAAATCCGAATTTCCGTTTCCGAAATTCGGTAGCGGTAGCTCGTTCAAACGTTCGTTTTCGTTTCTTATTCGTTTCGTTCGTTGGAGAAAAATATTTTCCCCCTCAAATGTCACTTTGCTGCAAACGAACGAACGAATGTACGAACCGAATAAGAACCGAAAACGAAACGAACGTTCGAACGAACTACCGCTAACGAATTTCGTCCGAATTCCGAATCGACTTTCACACCCGAATCCCGAAAAACGAAATAACACAAATCCGAATTTAAAACGAAACAAAACTAAACAAATTTTTTGGCAGTTCACATGTCAAGTAAGTGCTAACTGCAACTTTCACCTTGGTCTTCTTCTGGGTTCAGCGTCTTTGACCATTTTGATTGCCTGGGCCAAGATGATGTAAGTTCTGCGCATGCACATGGGAGTTACTTCAAGTTGCTTATGTACGGCTCAGTTCAAAGAAAAAAATTGCTGACAGGCAGGTAGAAGTTGCTATGGCAGAAAGCAGACAGACTTTAATTCCACCTTCACTGCCAAAAGAGGTGCTTGCAGCTATAGCAGGAGAAAGACAGTTAGGGGTAGGGATGTTCAGATACCAGTGCAGATACCAGTGGCGATACTTGGCATTTTCACAAGAACTACTAAGGTTGCAGGGGTTGCAGCTCCGGCTGGGCCATGGTGCTCCACCACTGTCCTGAAATCATTAGTCTCGTCTTGGTCTGGAAAAATGACAGCTACCTCCTAACTTTTGAGTTTTTCTCTAGTCTAGTCTTGGAGCCGGAGAAGTACCAGTACTTGTACTTGTACCAGTGACGTGCGGCACCTCTTGCCCCGGGTGAGGCATTCCCCCTAGCACCTATGTGTGAAAATGACAATTACGCTACACATGTTACATATCGCCGCCAACGTCGGAGTGAGAGAAATAATTCTAGGGCCATCAATCACTGTTAGCACTAAACTAATGAGCGGTAAAACCGGTTAAAGTGTTCCCTATGGGGAATTTTGGGTATTGATTTTTTTTGCGGCTTCACTGGTGAACGCTATAAGGCTTGACGTGTTTGGTATCTATTTACCCAACGTGACCCCATCATATTTTACAAAAAAATGGGCATTATATTATGTTTCTGTGCACTATTTTTTAATTTAGTTTCTTTTTTCCTAAAAATACTTGTTTGATAAACATTTGCGCAAAAACCGTGTGACATAAAAAATTGCAACTATAATTTTTTTTATTCTACAGGACCTCTGCTTTCAGAAAATATATTTGCTTGGGGGTTTAAAGCTGTTTTCTAGCCAAAATAATTATATTTTATCATGTGTGCGCAAATAGTAAGAAAATGCTCCGGACAGCAAATGGTTAATGAATATGCACCTGCAATAATACATGTTCCCCACTGAGTGTGAGAAGAGGGACCCATGGGTACACATGGGGGGGAAGCCTACACGCCTTCCTTCATGCTGCAGTCAGCAGCAGATGGCAGAAGGCCCAAGGTCAGACAATAACCAGATGAAACTTTGTTCATTGCCCACAATGCACTCTGACTTGCAGAGAGAGTAGACATGTCTAAGGGACGTGTGCTGGAGCTCTTCTATGATGTGGTCTCCTCATATTCCTGGCTGGGGTTTGAGGTGAGAGCCTGCATATAGCTGGATACTTAGACCTGCAAGGAATGCTACAATTCACAAATCTGCTCTTTGTTTCCAGCAATTGTATCCTAGAATTGTCCGCCTGCTGCCAGTCTGGCTGAATGGAATAGAATGTGTCCTGTGTAAGTAGAGCAAGGGTGAACCGACTTCTCAGGGACATTATAGGAAAGCAGGGTGATATCGCTCTGCGTGTCATGTATGGGGCACTTACTTTACAGATATCATCTGTCTTACTTCCTCCTTTAAATCAGTTTCCCCCTCCATGCTTTGTTTGTTGGTATGTCCCAGAACAATAGTAAGTAATCAGGAAGAGAGAGTCACTCACAGACTGTGTAGAGACAGACACGGGTTAGAGCAGAGATAGGCAATTTCAACCCTCTGGCTGTTGTGGAACTACAAGTCTCATGAGGCATTGCAAGACTGACAGTTACAGACATGACTCCCAGAGACATGTTGGGATTTGTAGTTAAAGCATGGCTGGGGGGCTGGAGTTGCTCACCCCTGGGTTACAGCACGTGAAATTAAACCATTCATTCTATGTTCCTGTGTACTGTACAATGTGGAAATCCGGTGGGGAGTGCACAGCTAGTTTGCAGCCTGCTCTGCTTTTGTTCGATCAAATGATGACTGCTGCCACTGTCTGTTCTCCCCATAAAAAAAACACAAAAAGGGGCGCCTTTCCTAGTGCAGTATTGTTTATTCCAAAAAACAGGCATAAAAGGTGAACTGACAGGTACTCACAAGACTGAAGTAAAAACGAGCTGCAGAACAATAAAACCGGAGCAGTAAAAGAATCCGTGCAGTGTGTCCTGTGTGAATTACTGAAGTGTCGACTTCGTCAGGGGGCGTGCCCCGGAAACGCGTCTTTTCAGATGTTCCAGTTCCCTTGACTGTATTGGGGCTGCGCCTTGCACATGTGCTCAGCACTCCTTCCTTGTGAGGGATAAGGATTGTCCCTGGCGCTTCTAAACAAAAAACGTTTTGTTCTCCCCATAAACCTGAGCATAGGCATATTTTGTTTGATTCCTGCTGAAATTCAAGCCCAGGGTGGCCATGTGGGCCGCCGTCCTGCAAAAAGGGCTCCGATCCCCACTATAGGCAGAAAGGCTGGGGTACTCACACTTATCAGTAAGACTACACTCTGATCTTTCAAACCCAAGATGAGCAAGGTGGTAGATGGTCCCACACCACCATTTCACTGGGCAACTCAACACTGGATTTGTGGAATGTGTATGGCACAAATAGTGGCAATGAACCCTTTTGTGAATCTCTATCCACCTCCCTACTAGACCATGGCCCACAATCCTATACATTAGTGGGCGGAGATTTCAATGCGACACCATCCACCCTTGAAGATAGATTTTGCGAACTTAGAAACACCCCCCCGATGCCTAACCCGCAGGACAGAAATTTGCAAACTTTGCTAACCAAAACTGCATTGATAGATGTATGGCGATTCTTCCATGCCATTGCAAGAGACTATACTCATTTCTCCCATGTTCATAAATCTATGTCTCGCATTGATCTGATTCTTTCCTCCTCCAATATCCTACCTAAAATTAGGTCGGCTACCATTGAAGAGATGGTATTCTCGGACCATGCACCAGTGGTAGTCACCCTACAAGGCCTGGATTTGGCCTCATCCCCAAAAACCTGGTGCTTCCCATCTTACTTATATGATGATGATACTTTTCAATCGTTATTGAAGACATGGCGGTATGAATATGCAACTGACAATAATGTACATGTTAACGATTATGTCCTTTTCTGGGAAGCGGCGAAGGCAGTACTCAGGGGTAGAATACTGGCCTACGTGACTTATCGGAAAAAACTGACCAAGGGTAAATACGTGGAGGCAAGTATGGCAGCTAGAGACGCTTATTTGCATTTTAAAAAAACTCCCAACCCACAAACCAGAGTTCACTGGATTAAACTCAAACAATCTTGTGATCATTGGATGTAACAATATGATCTCATCATCAGATCCCGTAAAGATGTAGAGCTTTTCAAATTTGGCAATAAGGCGAGCAGAATGCTGGCTAACCTGGCTCATGGCCAACGGCCCACTTCCCACAATGTCCACTTGCATGATCCCCAGGGCAACACTTACACTGACCCCGATGCCATATGCACCCTGTTTAGCAATTTCTATACCTCTCTTTACGCTGCTGAACAAGGAGACGTCCCAGCTGGGAAGACATTTCTGGACTCAGTCTCTTTACCTTCCTTATCTCTTGAGGATCAGGAAGCATTAAATAGTGAGATCTCACTCGCAGAACTCATGCATGTCATTCGCACTTCCCCTCGCTCCAAGGTACCTGGCACGGATGGCTTAACTACTGAATTCTATAAAACTTCTCTCTGAAGAAGTTTCCCCCTGCCTTCTATCCCTCTTTAACCATATCCTTCACTGCAGTCAATACCCACCCCCCTTCAATAAGGCCTACATTAGATTGTTGCCCAAAACTGGCAAAGACCCGCTTCTCCCTGGATCCTATCGCCCTATTTCATTACTAAATCAAGATGCCAAGCTATTATCCAAAATATTAGCGAATAGACTAGCTGCCATACTTCCGAAACTGATGTCCACGGACCAAGTAGGTTTTGTGGCAGGCCGATCGGCTGTTATAAATGTTTGTAAAGTTATTGCTTCATTGGAAAAGGTTCAATTGTCTAGTCCTTCTCGATGGCCGAAGGCCCTTTTAACCTTCAACGCCGAGAAGGCCTTCGATAATGTTAATTGGGAATGGCTCAAATTGGTGATGATGCATATGAGCTTCTCAGGTTCATTTTTGCACTTTGTATCTACCCTTTATACTTCACACATGGCACGCATTTACACCTCCTCTGCCCTGTCTTCACCAATACATCTACATAAAGGCACTCGTCAGGGATGTCCCTTATCCCCACTTCTCTTCAATCTAGCCATTGAACCCCGTCCAGATCATTAGTATCCTCTGAATTATATACAGGAATCCAGATGGGCCCACACAGCGTCAAATTAGCAATGTTCGCAGATGATATCCTTCTATTTCTCTCTAATCCATCCACACACATTCCTAATATACTTAGACACATAGCTCTATTCGGTTCCTTTTCGGGGCTGAAAATTAACTTTGATAAGTGTGAGCTACTCCCCCTATCCAATGAACATTTGATAGATATGTCCGCGTGGCCTGATAGTTTCAAAATCCAAGTAAACAATCGATCCATCCGCTACTTAGGTATACAAATCCCACGACTAGCAACGGACCTCTATAACTTAAACTACTCTCCCATTTTCAACACCATTATTACCAAGCTCCGAAACTGGCGTGACCTTCCCATCTCTACATTGGGGAGATGTCATTTAATTCGGATGATCAGTTTCGCACGCCTACTTTATCCAATGCAAACAATCCCCCTTCTGGTCAAACATAAAGACATCCAAGCACTGAATAGGGCCTTTTCCCAATTCATATGGAAAGGGAAGAGATCCAGAATTGCACTGTCTAAACTACAACACCCCACATCACAATTGGGCGCCAATATACCCAACATTAGATTGTATAACTTGGCCAGTATTTTCCGCCATGTTAGGGACTGGTTGCTAGACACATCTTTCTTTACCAATACATCCTTGGAGCAACAACTGGTTTACCCATGTTCTCTTTCAGGTGTACTACATACTCCGCTCCCCCACCTCCCATCATATATAAAACGCAATATCCTTTTGAGAGATACTATCATCACATGGAGGGAGGTGAGAAAGCTTTTTTAATTGACAGGAATGGTCTCACCACTGATGCCGATAACCACCCCCCCTGCTTTCCCGGCCGGTCGCGAATCCACGGTATTCCGCCAGTAGAATACCCGGGGTATTTGCACCTTACAGGACCTGGTCACGGTACAGGGGAAATGCAAGACCCTGGTGGAGCTTCAGAGAGAATATCACATTTCAGAAAACCACTTTCTTTAAGATGCCCAAATAAAACACTTCATAGAACACAATCTTCCCCCGTCTAGCGCGGGAACTAATTCAATGCTAATTCAACATCTGCTATCTTCCCCAACCCAAAAACTGCCTTTATCTTCCATACATCACCATCTATACTCCACTGCATCTGCCATCTCTTCGACACTCCCCAATTATGTACAAAAATGGGCTGAGTTTCTACAATTATGCCCGGAATCTGCACACTCCCTTATCCTGAATGGCTGGATGCAACTAAGACGTGCAATAGTTAGTGAATCATGGAGGGAGATCCAATCTAAAATCATACATCGGGCATACTATGGCTTCAACATGGATCTCCAAATACCGCCATGGATCTCCAGACTGGTTGACTTCTTGCCTGAAATGCCACTTTCCTCTACCCGACATACTCCACCTTATGTGGTCATGCCCCCAGATACAATCCCTATGGGAGGAGTTTGTTCTTTATAGGAATGTTCACTCTGGAAAGGGTAGAACTCCCTCTCATGATATCTGCCTATTTCATTAGCCTACTCCCGACCTCACTAATTCTCCTCGCACATTGACCAGATGGGAACATTTATGTATCATAAGCACAAAAAAAGCTATATTGACTGACTGGTTATCCCCCAGCTCCATCTCAATGTCTAAGGTTCTGCCACAACTCCACCGACTCATGCTGGTAGATAAATTAGATACGAAATTCAACATGCACCGTACAAAGACGTTCTTTGACACTTGGTCTACATATCTAACTACTGAACTACCCCTAGATCAATTACGTGACATAATGCTTATTTTCCAATATTCCAAGTGGTTTCTTACTGCCAAGCTCACTAACTCACTGGGTGCCCTCGATGTCCTTTGACGTAGCGCACCACGACCACTGCCAAATGCTGGAATTAATTCCCCTACGTGGAATGCCGAAACGCATCACCATCCCCAGACGACTTTTCTCACAAACAACATCTCTCGATATCTCAACTTCATGACCGAGTGTATTACTGGTTACTATGGTTACTCTAAT